GCATCATGGGCATCCAGCGCCGGGTCGTTCTCTGGAGTGGGTCTGTCCCGTGCCCTGTGGGATGTTACGCAGCATCCACGGACCCCCCCGCCCCGGGATGCCAGGAACATCACCGTCCCCCTCCCCCAACGTGTGACAACCACACATCTCCAGACATTGCCAAAAGCTGCTTGACGGTAGGGGACCAAACTGCCCTGAGAACCATGGGCTGACTACAAGCTTCCAGAGTTCAACGCTGAACAGACGGCCTCCATGAACAACCATCTCCTCTACCTTCGTCTCTAATACCCCCTTTCTCCCGAGCCTGCGAGTCGCGCTCCAGCTCGACCTCTTCCCTCCAAGGACCAAGAACAAACCAAAGCCATGGAAACAGAACCCAACTTCCTCTATCAGAAGAAAATACTCTGTCCTCTGTTTTCAAGTTTAAATTTGCTCCGATTTAACTTTTCAATGGCTTCCAGTTCACATCTGCGATCTTCAATCGGGCAGCGGATTTTCCCAATAAATATCTGATGGCGGCGATAACTGCACGGGAGGGCTTTGCAGGAGGCGGCCGCCTCCATGGCCAAGTTCCCGGGGAGCACACTCCTTAATGACGGCGTTTTCCCCCTGAGGTCTGAAACTCATTTTCTCAGGGCAGGCTCTCTTCTCCGTCTATAAACATGTTGCCTGTCTGTCCCTTCCCACACCCAGCATTCATTTTGGTTGCTGGGTCTCGTTCTGCTAATGTGGCCAGGGCCATCTGGTTGGTCGAGTCCCATGGAAAGGATGGACAGGACGCAAGGGCCAAGGAGGGCCAGACCCGAGGGAGAAACTCACATCCAGTCTCCACTCAAGAGGCCAGTTACTTCCTTCACACTAAAAATAGTTATGGAAAAAAAAAAAAGTTTATCTTTCCAGCTTAAAAAAAAAAAATGTTTACAAAATGACTTTAGTCTTGCTTCCCGATTGAAACTATTTTTTAAATGTCTTGGGTGGTGAAAGATTAACAACTTATTGGAAGTCACGTACTCTTCTTTTTTACGGGAGAAAAAGGAGGCAAATGCAAGGTATCGGGTACACCACACCTGGGACGGTCTCGCCTCACAGGGCAGAGCGATCGTGCTTGTCCTCTGGCCCGGGTCAGGCCTGGCAATAACCACGTGTGCAGAGCCCAAGACGCAGACACCTGGCGGAAAGCTCAAAGAGGGGGCAGCCTCAGGGTTGGGGTGTGGGGTCCTCCCTCCCAATAGGTAACTGAGGAAGGGTCTGAATTCCTGACACTTGGGACCTACGTGAGATGGCTCTTGGGGGCCTGGCTTCCCTCTGCAGGAACCCATTGCCCGCCTCTGGAAGAGAATCATGGATATCCCAGGTGTCTCAAAGGCTTGACAGGTCACAGCAGTCCTGAGACAAGGCAAGAGTGAGGACAAATGGCAGAGGGGAATCTGGGAAGTCACCTCTCACAGATGCAAAACTGGGTTTTCCCCCCCAACCACAAATAAAATTTCTAATAGGCTGCTATAAAAAAATACAAAAGACTATGCAAAGAACACACCAGCCAAGTAATAAAAATAACATCCTGACTCAGGGACCCGTATACAGGAAACGGGCAGCACTCAGCCACTTTTTAAAAATACTTTGACTATTGTTAAGCCTCACTCTGTTGGAAGGATTCCTGATCAGCCTTTTAATAACAGAAGATTTTGCCCTCAAGAAATTAAACCTTAAAACTTAAGACATAAACTTGGGGGGAGGAGTAGGTAGCCATGGTGAGCAAGGCTTTAAACGTATCAGATAAGGCCTCTAAATCACCTAAGGCCTCTAAATCACCTAAAAGGCCTCTAAATCACCTAAGGCCTCTAAATCACCTACGTGGGGCTTCACTGACGGTGACACCTTGGGCTCCCCACCATCCCGAGAGATGTGCGCCACGACACACACAAAGGCGGGCAACATGGGGACTGGCTATGCCATTTTTCAGATGGGGAAACTGAGGCAGAGAGCCACTAAATGCCATGTCCAAGGTTAAATACTCAGTGAGAGACTCTAGCTTGGAGTTCTGGTTTTCTAATTCAAAAGTGATCCAAACCACCTCAATCTAAAAAAACCACAGCTGTCAAATCTCACTGAAATCACTTTCCTAGGTCACCTGCTAGCTGAAATGGGCCTGCCTTTCTTTTTAAAGTCTACCAGTAAATTATTTCAAACTCTTACAGCCTCTCCCCTCCTCCCATAAAAAGTAGACGAACTCTCTTTACTGCCTTCTTTATTAATCCTTACTTGCAGTAACTATAGAGAATCTCCCTCCAATAGAACGTTCTGCAAGTTCTGCACTGTCCCAATATGGCGGCCACTAGCTACACACATCTATTGAGTATGTGAATTATGGGTAGAGCACTGAAAGAACAGAATTGTTTATTTTAGTAACAACAGAATTGTTACTGAATTTTAGTTAATTTGAATCTAAATATGCACATGTTGGCTAGTGGCTGCCACACTGGATAATTAAGCTATAGACGAAAACAATCTTTCCACCGTGGTGGACATTTCATGATTTCTGTTGACATTCATCTAGGTGTATAAACAGATTTCAATGTAGGTTCTTCTGTGTGTGGGGGAGGGAGAGAGAGAGAGAGAAATTGTGTGTGTGTGTAATTGAACGAGCTTGTCTCCAAGTGGGAAGATTCACACAATGTATACACAGGAAGGCAAGATAACACCAAGCTTAAGAGATGGGCTTTCAGAATCAAACAATCCTCCCTCCACCATATATTGGCAAGTCAGTGGACTGAAGCAGGGTGGAAATAACTGCCGCACACAGGGCATTAAGTGCGTGTAAAATCCTCACTGCATGGCATTAGAGTAACATTAGGAAAATGATTCTACCTGCACAATACCAACAGCTAAAACTTACAGGCAGCTCTGTAGTTTTCAAAAAACTTACACTTACATTCCCTCTTTCTGTCCTTGCACTACCCAATGAGTACCACGATTTCAGTTCCCGTTTTTATTTTTACACATATAGAAAACGACACTCAGAAAAGTTACAGGACTTGAAGGTCAACGGTAGAGCACAACAACAGGGTGGGCCCTTTCACTAGTTCAGGCCAAACGGGGACAAAGGCTGCTTTTCTAGCAAAGCGTGGTGTCCTGATGCAGGTGGACTCAGGGGCTCTAATCCCCTTTCTGCTGGCTAGCGCTGAAACCCTCCTAACAGCCCACCCAGGTAGACTCATGACGCCATCACACAGATGAGAAAACTGAGACTCCCATGGTTAAAGGTGAGACTCGAGACCAACTAGGACACCACACATTTCATTTAAACACCCAAACTTTCGGGAGGGGTGAGCTTGGGAAGACTTAAGGGTCAAGGTGTGAAATTTAAATGGGGGGTGTTGACAATTCCTGGAGTGACTTAAGCCCCGGACAGAAACACAAGAAGAGCCAGCCTCAGAAGATCCAGTGACACACACCCTGCTGTGCACAACACCAAATCAACACCTTAAGTCTCCATTTTCATCCCACAGGTGTGCGTTCCCTTCAGGTCTGGAATATCCTTAAGGGGCGATCTTCATAAGTGGGTCAAGTGATGCACTTCAACTTTTCATCCCTGGACTCATTATCCAGCTGGGGGGTTTTCCACGAAAATCTGCCGGACGTTTGAGATATTAACATCCCTTAACATAAAAGCGTCATCTTCACGTCTCAACTGTTCCATACTCAACATTCGCCCTCCACCCCCATCGCGTCTTTCCTAGGAATGACTAGTTGTAAACTTTTCATAAAATCGTCCTGGGCCATTTCCTACCCCGAGGCCACCGTTCAGGACTGAAGAGGGGCGCTCCCCTCCCCCTCCCAGGCTGGAGTCCCGCCCCTCCCCTTTCAGGTTAACCCAGGGACCCAGGCGGCGCTCCTGAAGAGAAAAACATCCAGCAGTCAGGTCAAACCACGTGTGACAAAGCAAAGCAGAAACCGTGGCACAAGGGATAGAGCATGGAGCTTGTTTCTTTGGGGGTTCTGCTCTACAACATCAGCGACAGAAAAGAAAAAAAAAAACCCACCTCCGACTCTAACTTTGTAGAATTTCCAAAGCGAGGGGCTCGGAAAATGCGAGGCCGTGCTAAGAACGAGCCCCGGCGCGGGCCTCACAGCGCACGGACAGCGCACGTGAAGGGCAGGCCCTAACCCAGCGCCCGCGGGCCTCTGACAACCCCCAACTGTCACACACCCGGCGACCTCCGGCGACCCCCGAAGGCGCGCCCCACCCCGTTCCGAAAACCGGCCCCCGTAAACAAGGTCCCCCTGGGGAGCAGCGCCCGGGACGCGAATCTGGAGGCACCCCTCCCCCAGCCCGGGAGCAACAGGTCTGCAGCCTCCCCAGGCCGCGCTCCGCTGACCCGGCCAGACCAGGGACGCCCCCCGTCCGCCGAAGTCGCCCCCAGCCCGCCCTCCTCGCTCGGGCGGGGGAGCTCCCGACTTCGTTGACAGTTTCTGCGCCTCGGAAACTGAGCCGCCCAGGGCCCGCGCCGCCGCGCTTCCAGCCGGCCCGGGACTGGCCGGCCCGCGCCCGGGGATGAATGGGGCTCCCCTCCCCCCACGGGGATCCCGCGGCGGCGCAGGTCCGTCCAGTCAGCCCCGGGTTGGGCAGACAAAGGGGCACCGGGGGACAAATCGAGCGCTTCCTCAAACTTGCCGGCCGCCACCCCTCCCCGAAACAAAGGAGCCCCCCCCAGCCTCCGCCCGCCCCCAACGCGCCGGCACTCTGGGGAGCAGCCAAAACGGGGTATTGTGCAGCCTGCAGGGAGCGCGCCGCACCCCAGCCCAAGCCCGGGAGACACTGGGGGACCTGCCCCTCCAGAGCCCCGGAGGCGGGCGGAGCGTGCGGGAGCCCCGGGCCGCCGGCCTGACCCCGGAGGGAGGGAACCGCTGGCCCCCACGCGGGACAAGTTCGCGCCACCCCGCCCCACCCCACCCCGCGCCCGGCCGGCCACCCGGCCGGCCGAGCCCCACACACTCACCTCGCCGCGAGCAGCGCAACTTGCGGCGGCGCCGCCGCCCCGAACCTCCCTCCAGCCGGCCGTCTCCGAGCCCGGGCCGTGCCGCGGCCGAGGAGGGCCCGGCGCCCGGAGCAGCCGCGCGCCGCCCCCGGGCCGCCCCCGCCCCGCCGCAGCCGAGTCCCCGAGAGGCGCGGGCGCTGGAAAGTTTCGGATGCCGAATGGCGGCCGAGGGCGCTGCGGCGGCGGCGGCGGCAGCAGCGGCGGGGCGGGGGCGCTGGCGGCACCTCGCTCCCGAGCGCAGAGAGTGCGGGGGGGGGGCTGGGGCGGGAGCGGTGGCGGCGGCAGAGGGCGGGACGGCGGGAGGGACCGGCAAGGGCAGTGACCTCCGGGGGGAGCGGCCGCCAGCGCGCCGACCCCGGCCGGGAGGACTGCCAGGGAGGCCGCCTCCGCCGCCGGGCCGGCCCCTCCCCCCACGGCCCCCAGCCCGCACCCTCCCCCACCGCCCGGGGACTGGAGCCCGGGTACCCCCCCGAGTCCCCCCACCCACGCCCGGGGGGAGGGGCGCGTCCCAAGCTGGTCCCTCCCCCACGGAGGGTGAGGACGCCAGGCCTGCCCTCCCCCATAGCCACGAGGGGGAGAGTCCGCCCCCAACACAGCCCCTCCCCCAGGGCTCCAGGGCAGACTCGCGTCCCGGCCCGCCCCGCCCCCAAGGCGGGGTAACCTGCGACCCTCCCCCGTCCCTCACCCCTGACTCTGCTCTCCCCGGCGCGCCCGGAGTGGCTGAAGGGAATCCGGGTCTCTCTAGTGTATCCGAACCCCGTCCCTCCCTCGTGGCCTCCATGCGGGCGGAAGGAGACGCAGGCCTGTGCCCACCCCGTCCCAGGCCCGGACCCAGCCAGCACGGGACAGGAGCCTGGTCACCAGCACCGCGGTTGCCAGGGGAGGGGGGAACCGGGCCACCGCTGTTACCCTCCCCCACCTCCAAGAAGCAGCCGCCCAGCTGCCCTAGCAGAACCCCTGCAACCTGCCTGAGGACGCCGCTCCCTCAAAATCGGCGGCCAGGAGGGCACCCCAATGGTCTCCTCCCCTCCCCGGAAAAGTGGGGGCCCAGGGGGAGCCTCGACCTTTGCAAAATGCCTCCAGCGAAGAGCCGGCAGTGCGTGGGGAGAAAGAAAGTCGGGCCCAACGGGGTGGAGGCTCCCGGCGGGGGCAGGGGGAAGAAGCCGGGCCCTCGGGCCTTCTCACCCCCGCCCCCGCCCGGAGGCGTCGGGCGTCGGGCCCCGGCCAAGTGCTAAGGTTGCCGCAGCTCGCTCGGCCCAGCCCTGGTGAACCCGAGGCCCCAGCGCTCCTGCCTCCCCTCCTGCTTGGTGACAACTGCCCCCCACTCGAGGCCTGAGTTCACTTAAACAGACATCTGCACCCACCCGCCGGCACCTTGGGTGTCTACTTTGCCGAACATTTTAGAATAAGTTTGCCCCTCCCTTTGGTGTATAAGGAGCTTCACCCCAAGAGCCCAGTACCCACTCAGCGTTTTACACTGGAACCTCACTTGCTCCTTGCTGGGATACGGGGCCATTTGCTGTACTGGTTCTGCGGAGAGGGGGCCCGAGGTGAGTGTTTAAGGGGCTGGTCCTCCATCAAAAAGGCAGACTAAAAATTATGCTGCCAAATATTGCTGTGAAACGTCAGTGATGTAAAACGACGGTTGCTGCACATTAATTATTAGAGCACATCAATAAAAGATACACTTACACAGTCTCCATAATTGTGAATCAGCAGAATAGATTTTGCCTTATTTTGTATCAGTTGCCATTCAAGGCCCCCCAAAAGGACGTGATGGGACCTTCCCTTGAGCCTGCCCGTCGTTGCTCCCGGGCTCCTTGGGCTTGTGAGGACTGACGCTGAGGTATTAACAAGCAATCGAAAAACCAGGGGGGGGGGGCAACAGAAAACCCGAGCGAGCTCCTGATGCAACCCTGCCCCGGTTACACGTGCTTCCCTTCCCCCACCGCCTGCTGGTGGGAGCGCTGCGTTTTTTCCGCCTGTAGGGTCACATTGTGGTTGATTGATTCTCCTTTCGCCGTGCTCAGTCATTCAGATTTGGAAAGTAAATAACAAGTTGACATCATTACAGCTCTCGGCTTTACTGGGACGCGGCCCCCGGCTACCGCACACTCTCGAGTAGCCGCGCAGCCAAACTGGCCCACTGGCTTGCCAGCCGTGCTTCTCGTTAGCCGCTTGGAAATTGCGAACTGAACACGATGAAAAGGTTCCTTGGTATGTTTTGATTACTTGGCAGACGCCAATCATTTAAAGTATGAGAAAGTGGTGGAAATCCTCGCTTCCAAACTAGGACCCGGTGTGACCACTTTTTTTTTTACAGCTGGTCTTCCGTAGCTAACAACGCAAGGGAGCTTGGAATCCATCTTGCCTGTTTGATCGTGTCCCAATAATCCCAACGGTCTTCTTGCAAGTATGGAGTCGAGCACTTTTATCACAGACTCCTAGGAACCCCCAGGGACTCTGTAAGACCTCAGGCAGGAAAGGTGACCCCCTACATTTATCCTAATAACACCGAGAAATTCCACCTTCTGAATGCTAGATGGGTGGTAGGAACGTGTTAAATTAGACTATCTTATTTAATATGTTTTGCAGATTTTTCGAATGGTGTAAGGAAAAAGGGGGAAAAGCACATTAAAGTAGGGCAGGAAAGGAGCTAGTGCGTTCTGACAAAAGTATAAAGGTTAATTTGGAGGCCATGAGCAGCAAGGACCTACACAGGTATCCACTGCACAACATCTATGTTCCAAACAAGTATTTTTGCTTACTGATGCAGAGAGCTGGAATACAAGAATCCGCTCGCAACAAATGCAATCAGTATTCCCCCTGAACAGTAGCCAAATGTTTAATAAAAAGGCAGCAGGAACCCACACAAATGTAGTCAACTAATTTTTGACAAAACAGCAAAGGTATTTCAATGGAGAAAGAATATCCTTTTTAACAAATGGTGCTGGAACAACAGACATCCATAGACAAAACAAACAAAAAACTTAATCTAGCCCAGACCTCAAGGCTTTTCACGGAAACTAACTTAAAATTGATCATGGGCCTAAATGTAAAAAGCAAAAACATAAAACTCCTAGAAGATAAGGTAGGAGAAAATCTAGACGACCTTGGTTTTAGCAGTGAGTTTTTACATACAACACCAAAAACATGATCCATGGAAAAAAAAACTGATGAATTGGACTTATTGAAATTAAAAACTTCTGCTCTGCGAAAGACACTGTTAATGGAAAGACAAACCACAGACTGGGAGGTAATATTTGCAAAATCCATATCTGATAAAGGATTATATCCAAAATATGCAAAGAACTCTCAAAACTCAACAATACAGAATAAAAATGGGCAAAAGATCTGGAAAAAGAAACAACTCACCAAAGAGATATACAGATGGCAAACAAGCATATGAAAAGATGCAGAGTATCACATATCACAATGAAATTGCACATTAAGACAAACTACGGGGAACTCCCTGGCAATTCAGGGGTTAGGACTTGGTGCTTTCATTGCCGGGGCTGTGTTCTGTCCCTGGTCTTGGGAGTAAGATCCCACAAGCCACGCAGCTCGGCAAAAAATCAAACGCCAACCGGATGCCGAGCAACAGGAACTCTTACGCATTGCTGGTGGGAATGCAAAACGTAAGACCACTTTGGAAGACAGTTTGGCAGTCTCTTACAAAGCAAAACATACGATCCAGCAACCATGCTCCTAGGTATTTACCCAACTAAGTTGAAAACTTATGTCTACACAAAAACCCACACAGGAATGTTCAGCAGTTTTACTCACCAAACACCGAAAGCAACCAAGATGGTCCTCAGCAGGTGAATGGATAAACAAACTGTGGCACATCCATACAATAGAATATCATTCTGCAATAAAAAGAAATGAGCTATCAGGGCATGTAAAGACAAGGAGGAACTTTAAATGCCTACCACTAAGTGAAAGAAGCCAATCTGAAAAGTCTACATACTGTATGAGTCCAACTCTACGACATTCTAGAAAAGGCAAAACTGAGAAGATCAGTGGTTGCCAGGGGTTCTGGGAATGGGAAAGAAGGGACGAATACGGGGAGCACAAGGGATTTTCAGGGCAGTCAATGGATTCTGCGTGACACTGTAGTGGCAGATACATGACATTTTGCATTTGTCCAAACAGGTAGACCTGTACAGAACCAGAAGTGAGCTCTAATGTCAGCTGTGGATTTTATCAGTATTGATTCATTCACTGTAACAAATGTACTACTCTTACACAAAAGGTGTTAACACTGGAAGTGGTGTGTGGGAGGAGGAAAATTGGGAACTCTCTGTACTATATGCTAAACCGTTCTGTACATCTAAAACGGCTCTTTTAAAAAAGTCTATTATTTTTTTTAAAAAAAAGACAGTAGGAAGAGGTGTTAAACTTCTCTTGAGAATTACTGCCCAGTTTTCATTGAATCCAATATGTAGTTTCATCGAGGCCCATCTGATGTTCTACGGCTCCTAACACATAGGCCGATATTTGTTTCCATGACTGGCTTACTCACAAAGGCCTGAGAGTCCAGGATTCATTCGTGTGCTCCACGGCACAGTGACCTCTCGGGGATGTTTGCAGAGCACGTCTCAGCCTTGAGGAAGCATCCGCCACAAGCAGAAACGAAGAAGGGGGGGTGTGCTCACCAACTTCACTTACAAACCTCTGGCCGAGGTTTGCTTCAGGGCTTGCTTCTAATTTTCCTCAGGGAGACTGGAACCGAAACTACAAAGGGAGCTGGTTGTTATCAGGTGGTAGCCCGTGGTGAACGTACTTGGAGAAGTAAACAGGAGTGAGGACAGAGCTTTCCATCACCTGCCTTGGATGTGAGATGAGGTGGGTGGTAGCCCCCTCTGCTACCCTTGACCTGGCTAGGCATCCAGTCTTTTTTTCAAGATAGGATGTATTGTGTCTCCCGCCTCAAATTCATATGTTGAAGTCCTAACCCCCAGCACCTTAGAATGCGACTGTTTTTGGAAAGACAGCCTTTAAAGTAGTAAATAAATCAAATGCAGTCATTAGGGTGACCCTTCCTTATCCAGTCTGACTGGTGTCCTTATAAGCAGAGGAGACTGGGACACAGACATGCACAGAGGGAAGACCATGTGAAGACACAGCAAGGAGGGAGGACAGGGGAGAAACCCACCCTGC